ACATATTATATTAAAATAAAAGGATAAGAATTTCTTAAAATACTTAATAGTATATACTGCTTAGCTATAAACTTCTAGCAGCTAGGAAGCAATAACGCTATTAGACTACTAATTATATATATATACTTTGACGGGGGCATCTATACCCCAAGGAACACACAGCCCGCGCAGCAGAGTCTTTGGCAGGGTCCTTGGCAGGATCCTTGGCAGAGTCTCTGGCTAGCCCTCTTCTTGATCAGATGATCCCTTGGCCCCTGTTCGTCTAGGGAGAAAGGAGGGAAAATTTGGTCTATAAAAGAGGTCTCTTTTCCTCCTTAGCTAGCAGACAGCATCAGCATCATCATCTTCTTCTTTTATCACCTTTATATTATTATCTTCTTCTATATCCTCTTTTACTACTATACCTTTTTTTTGGCCCTCTTTGCCTTTGCCTTACCCTGCCTAGTGCTTTCTCGTTTCCTTCGTCCCCCTTAGACCCCCTCGTCCTTCGGTATCTAGCTGCTGCTGTTGCCGTTGGCGTGGGTGTGTCTTTGGGTGTGTGCCGCAGCCACCGTCAAAATACTTTAAGTACGCCTTAACTATTAAGCATATAGCTCTGCCTAGTAGATATATAAAAAGAAGGGAAGTATAGTATATATACCTAAAAGGGGAAGCCTCGTTAGCTAGGTAGAGAGTATATATAGATATATATACTACTTTAATATATAGATCCTCTCTTTTAGGAAGGATAGCGTAATCTATATACACTCTCTTAATGCAAGGACTAAATAGCTAGGAAAAAAAGTAGAAGGGCTAACTTAATTCACTCTCTGCTTTAGCCAGCTGTTATATACTTAACTATATACTAAGATATATGCTCTACCCCTATAGATAGATAGAGGAAAACTCAGCTGAGTTTAGCAGACTATAATATTAATATTATTACTAAGGCTATTACTTAACTAAAGGGATACTAGAGACTAAATTTTTAGCAGCGGGTTTAATAGAGGTGATCCGCTTTATATATAGTAGCAGGTAAGTATAAATAAGACCCTACTACCTGACTTATCAGCTTCTATCAAAATCATTAAGTCTTACTCTTACAACTACCAACTCTTTTAAGTCTTCCTCTTAGAATCGTTAAGATTTCCTCCTAAAAGCATTAAGTCTTTCCACTTTAAACTATCGCAAAAATGAAGATCGCAACCAATGTCTTGTTTCTTATCGGACTAGCCACCGCTGGTCCTATTCAACCCATCCAAAACACGAATGCAGTGGATATCATTGGGAACAAGTTAATTGACGGCTTCAGCAGGATGGGGAAGGGTGGGGATGGGCTGGCTTGTAAGACGAAATTTTCACCACCTGGTACGCTAAAAGCGCACAAGAGTCTGCGTCCGAGTCCGCCTAAGGGACCGGGCAATCCTGTTGGGCCGATAAAGAAGCCTGGCCGTGTTTACCCGAGGAAGGGTTCACCCCCTTCTTGACCCAACAGTCGGCCTGGGACAGGCTCTAACAAGAAATCCGGAAACAGTGGCAAATGGTTTACATGTTTCGGCTAAGAGCACGACTATGTCTCCAATGCTGGCTTCGTTCTTTGCCTATAGTTTTGGATGGTTTTTAGAGAACAACATTAACGTTGGTCATGATATGTACGGGGTCATTGCTTTTGTATTGTATCAGGGATATTTTGACGGGCAAGGCTGCACCCCATATGACACCACTCCTGACAAGTGCTGACAGTCTTCAGTCACTCCCATATGTACTTAAAGGCTCGTAGGCACGCGGATCGTCTAATTACTGGCATCTTATTCTTTTATTATCAATTTGAACGTCTGTTTTCCCCTTAAGCGAGGGTTTTCCAGTCGTGTAGCATCCTAGCTTAACAAAAATCATAAATTGAAAAATACTAGTTTTACATCTATAAGCGTGAGACTTACGGAGTCGCTTGCGCCATTAATGATCAGACGGTCCTACGGTCTGTGAAGACGTTAACTACTCTACTTACCCTTAGCCGTATGCTGCGCGTGTTTTAGGTATATGCCATCGCCCCCGTGAAAATATATAATATAGCGAGCAGTGGTATAAACTTGCCTTAAGAAATACATTAAATAGTATGCTAATTTATTTTCGCGTATAGGGGCAAAGTATTTAAGAGCAGTCTACGGCCTAGTAGTATCGAGGCTAATATATAGGATTTTCTAAAGATAGTTATTGTTGAGGAGAGTGGGCATAAGAGGCCACAGTCATGCCCAGTGGACCCAATAGTCATGCACAAGGAAGCCTGCCTGACCAACATGACTCCCCTAGCCCAAGGACATTATGTAGGCCTGACTCAGGTATAGGAACATCCCAATGCCCTCTTTTGGCTAGCTATGTGTGGTCACTGTACCTATATAAGCCCCTCCCTTGTCCCAATAGATAGACCAGGACATGCATCACTAAATTCACCTTTCTGTGCCCCTATTTCTTCCACTGTGCTCTCAAGCCTCTGCTTGAGAGTTATATATAACTATACGTAATTAGTTAAGTCGAAGATCTAACTAACTAAATTAATACTTAGTTATATTGCTTCCTATATTATATATAGAGGAGTAAGAAGCATCGCTTTTATTAATTAAGTTATTCCTATATTTCGCTTTATACTTAGCAGCTTCCTATCCTACCGAAAAGGTATATAACTATTCCTTGCGATGACCTCGCTAATAGGCCGTCTGCGTATATTATTACGAAGCGTGGCCTAATTTCGTAGTTCTCGGAGATATCCCTTAGTAAGAGGGACCTAGGAAGCTAAAAACCCGGTTTAGAAGAAGGAGCTAAAAAGAGGTATTTAGAGGAGGGTAGGGGCATAAAGGGAAGCAGAAGTAGCGATAGCTTCCTATAGAGGTAGCGAGAGATAAGACGGATATACCGGCAACGGCTAGAAAAGAGGGGAAAAACCGGCAAAAAGCTTGGTAGTTAGGAGGATATTAATAGCTTCTTTAAGTAGGATCTTCTTTATTAATAGAGATACTAAATAGGTATAAAGAGGGGCGTTAGATAGAGGAAAGAAAGATAATTAAGGTAATATAATAATTACTCCCTTACTATAATTACTGCCCTTATAAGAATAAAATATCTCTACCCTGCCTATCCGACCCCTTACTTATAATTTTACCTTTATATATTTTATATATACTTCTTATATCTCTCTCCGCGAGATATATAGCATTAAATATAATATAAAAGGTCTATATACTAGGGCGTGAGGGTTATAACGTATATATATCTACTTAATTTAATGCCCTTAGGATTTTATATAGGTTTAATTAATTAACTACTATATTAAATATAGGTAGAAATTTACTGTTTAAGTATATAAGTATAAAGGCGCTAGGTAGTAATACTAATTAGATCTAATCCTTATAAGTTTCTTATTTATCTAATATCGTAGCTAGCTTTTACTCTAAAGTTATAAGACTTAGGAGTTAAACTCGTTTAAAGAAATTTATCTATATATAATCCGTACATAATGTGACATGCAGTCATCGTGATTTGTTGTCGATGGCCGCCAATTGCAGGGTTATCAAGCTTGGCGAGTGTCTGAAATCCTGCCTCGTGCAGACTGTGAGCGACAGGCGACATGGCGTCACCGGTGAGAGTTCCCTGCCACCCCGTTCGCCAGATCATAACGAGGCAAGCCAGGGTGAGGGAAAGACATATTGTCGAAGCTGTCACTCAATCAGATGGGCCGCGATGATGAGTGACGGGCCATTCAAGGGCATGCGGAGCGCTACGAAACAATCCACTTCTGGTACTCAGCCACGTGCTGCAGGGGAGCCACCCCAGACGGGTCGGTGATGGTGTGGACGCGCGTCCCCAGGATGACCCTGCAGAAAAAAAGCCCAGTATCTCAATCGGGTCCCCTGGCGTCGTTCGCCAGTAGAGCGCCTATAACGCCGAGACTAGGAGCCGGTGGGCGGCTAAATATAATGGTGAAAGGGCCCTGGCCGACATGGCATAGGCTTTCAGGCTGCACCGGGCTCTGGTCGAGCTGCACGGTATGCAGTAGGTCCGAGTTCCGCTCACATACTGCCATCTAGAAGTGAGCGGCCTCATGGCGGGCTGCTCCCAGAATAAGCCAGGCTTGTGGAGCTGCAGTGGGCCCTTCAGGAAATGGCCACCATGGCCAGGACTCTATCTTCTTTTCCTTAAGATGCTATAGATGCTCTCCCGGATCGCCACGTCTAGTTTGCGTGACGTTACCGTCTTTCCGCTTCCTATATCCGTATCCTGGATAAAATCCTACACCCGTGGCGATTTCTTCCTTGCTGCGGCATAAAGCTCGTTTAAGGTGCCGAAGTAGAGCTAGTCCTGCAAAAAGGCAGCGCGGCACGGGATTTTGTCTCCTGGCGTGGAAATATCTCCTTACTGCGGTTTGCCTACGTCCCAGCCTTAACTAGAAGCATATCCCTGAAATCGCATGGCTTCATACTTCCCGACTCCGAGATATGGTACGCTCGGACATGGTCTCGTAGCGTCTCGAAAATCGGGCAAATAATCCATTTCCGCGCTAGAAGCAAGTTATGGCCGGCGGGATACAACTCTGCTAGGGCTTTGCCAAAACTGGCGAGAATATTTATGCTATGTAGACAACTCTCAGGACAGTGTACAAACTATATCGCTCCGACTCAATGTTGCGGTTTTACTTGCCTTTCCTAGACGTGAGAAGGACTGCTGTGAGCCGACGCCTGCGCCCCCCTTCTGCTGCTACTATTGGCCCCAACTCAGCAAGGCTGAGCGTAGTCAGACAAGGAGACCAACAACGCTGGTGACAGCTCACACTAACACGTGTTTCATCGTAGCTCGAGATTCTGCATGCTTTTTCGCACAAGGAAGCATTTTGTGGGTTTTGCTAATCACCCTGTGAACTGTAGCTTAAGATATTCCGAAGTACTGTCGTTAAACGCCTTTGTCTGCCTCTGTCCCGGAATGATATTCGGCATGACTCGTCAAGCCCACCCTCACAGCTGCAGCTGTACTCATCTAGAGTGTCGCTTTCCCCACTTCGGCATGCCTGTATCTCTCTAATATCGTCCCACATCTGAACCTCGGCTGCTGTGAGGTCGCCTGGAAATAATTCAGGGACCAAAGCTCGCCCGACGTGCTCGTGATTCCGCTCAGTCTCCAGCAGAGTTTCCATGGCCTTTTTATGCGCGTAAACGTCGACAAAGTCGAGGCAAAGGCCAAAGCTCTCCGGTCTGCGCGGGCATCCGGCGACTTGGACGTTTTGCACAATGCCAAGGCCTCCAACTGCGAGCAGAAACCAGGTATGACCTTTGAGGCCTGCGGCGGTAATGAGGAGCAGCACCCAGAGTATGAATAAGACCAGCAGCGCAATTCGAGTTGACGATTTAGTGGCGGCTTGGACATTGCTCTGACCCGAAGCTAGACCCTCTAGATTGAAGCCGTGGCCATTTCCGAGCATCACGATGGCATGCTGGGAGCCGTTTCCTCTGGTCAGAATGTACGTCGCTCGAGACTTCCTTCGGCAAGCCCATTTCTCCGTCTTCCACTGCGGTAACAAACCAGTGGCCATGGACAAAACAGTGCCACCCGTCGTGATGATCAAGATGCCCCAATCTCCAAACAAATATGCAGGAATCAAGGCAACACCGAGCTGTGCGAGCATGGTGAGGAATCCAATCCAGTGTACAGAGTCGGTCTTAACTGTGCCGTGGACAAATTGCTTGCTTGGCTGATAAACTGAGACAACGAGACCTGCCTGTTGAGGTCGAGTCGTGCGCGAGTCCAAGCGCTTCAAGTCCTGCCATTTGTCGTCCAATATGTCCTGGCTTTTCTTGGCGACAAGGGGGTCACACCAGACCTGGAAGTCCCTCATCACCCTGCTAATGATCCAGCTGGAGTTTTCTCTAGCGAAGCCGTTTTGGCCGTTTATGACTTTGCAAGCGCAATCTGGGCTGCTCGGCATGAGCTTGTTGTGCCCAACAGCGGACATGAGTGCGCCGACGGAGTATGCTACCCATCCTGAAGCAACACATCAGCATCTCCTCATCAACACCAGCATCCGCATAGTCGCATCTGTCTGAAGTCGGGCCATCCTTGTTGCAGCGTACCGAACGAGAAAGTCGCCGGGGCGAGACCCGACCCGGCCAGCTGTGCCAGCGCGGTAGCAACCACGTCACCGCCCAGGATAAGTAGCACGCTGAAGACATCGCCTGGGCTTGCCCATTGAAACCGGAATCCCAATCTGAGGATGCAGATCCGTCCCCGCGACCGAAGATATGCAGGGAAGATGGAGGCATGGGTTGGACGGGACTGGTGTGGAGGACACTTGTTACTTGACGGATGGTCTCTGGATGGCCTGGAATCGCCGACTGCGACTAAGTCTACATTGTCGAAGCGGTGCTTCCTGAATGCCTTTATAGTTATTAGTGTGTACCTAGATGCGGCCGAGAGCGCCCTCGGAATGCAGGCTTGGGCCGGGAGGCTATGCTGGCGGTACACAAGTCAAGCGGACCATACCCAAAGTACTGTACGCACCTCCCAAGCAGACGGGGCCCTAAGCCCTAGGATCAGATCATGCCGTTGAACGTACAGTGCAGTATACGCGCTCAGGATAGACATATGTGGCTCCAATGGCTGTTGTGTTGGCTTGATTCGATAGCGCTCTGCGGCATTGTGCGGCAAAAGGCCATCATGGCATGTCGACTGCCGATCACCGTCGGATACTGATGACGCTGCCCCGCGGGGTACTGCTAGAGGTAAGGAAGTGTTGTTGTCGTATGCAGAATAAGGGTCTCGCAGATAAATTGATGGTCCCTTTGAGTGTGGCAAGGCCACCGATGAATAATTCTGGCCAGAAGAGGCGGCAGAAGGGGCTATGTACACCGAGGTCTTAGATATCTTTAGAGACTCCCGTCACGGGCAAATCACGCCTAGAACATAGGCTGATGGCTTTATATCCTCGACTCTTGTTTAATAAAAGATAAACAAAAACATTTTAAGATATAAATATATATAAATACTTAGCTAAGATATTTTAGCTTTACTTTAAGTATAAGTATAAGATAACTATTCCTAATATAGATATACTATTTTTTTTATGAAACACTATAATATAAAGCTATTAAGATAGTATAATATTAAAGTCGTAGTAAAAGAAAAGACTAGAGTGTAACTTTGTGGTATATGTATTCAAAAAGCGCAAACAGTTTGCAACCGCGAGACACTTTGCCAGAGTGGTTAATGGGTCAGCCTGCTATCCGTGGATTTGTGCTAGCATGACTAAGCCCCATCTCCATCAGAGAAGCTGATGGGTTCGCCCGCGCAGGTTCGAATCCTGCAGGTGTCGTTTCTTTTTTCTTGCCTTACTTACTTGCTTCTGCAAGTAAGTGTACACACAGCTTCCATCTATGCTATGTCACATTGCTATACGCTCTGAATGTACCACAGTGGCCAGAAGTTGCGCGTATGGCTATAGGTAGATATATGAAAGATTGCCTTGTTCGTTTGAACCCTATCGGCGCTGCTTTTTTGCTGTTCGCTGCATTTAATATATCGCGCCTCTTACAACTTGGCAAATCAACCGGCTTCCTAGATGACTTGGTAGCTGGGCGCAAGCTCTTCCTGGCTAGAAAAGGAAAGCTTACTTTACATTCAGGTTCACCTGCGTTAGCCCGAATCCTATAGACATCACTTATGTATTATTTTCTTATAAAGAGGTACGTATATTGCCTCTCCCTCTCTACGTCGAATATCGCTAGATCTTCTCCGTATCTAAGCAGCTACGCCATCGCCTGCTAGAGCAGGGATCATGTCCAAGGGGCTCTGCAGCTGTCCCCCTTCTGCTCCCATGTTCCAGATCATCACTCCCAAGCCATTTCTCTTTGCGCCCGGCACTCTGGCTACGATACGTAGCGCCGATGCCGCATTGGGAGAGGAGGCAATTGCAAGACATGCGGTGTAAAATCTACAGTACAGTTTTTCCCCCACCCCTTGACAGAGCATTGTAGGGCTAGCATAGCAAGAGGGGATAGGGGCTGCTTATGTCTGCCTCTTATTACTGTAGCTGGCTGCGTAGGCGAGGCGTCTTCCCCCCTGTTTACCTGTTTCCTTTTGCTATTTCGCTCGCGAATGATATCCATCAAGCCGCCCTGAAAATCGGTGTGCCATGCCGCGTTAATCTTCATCGAGAAGAAGCCCGGTGGGGAGGGTTCACACAAGTCACCGTCTCTTGATCCAACCTGGGACGCGCGACGGATAGCAACAGCAAGACGTCATATTCAGTCAATGGCCTGATCGTCGACTTCTCCCGCCCGCTTTGACAACTTGTCATGCAGTCTACATACCAAGTAGATGAGACGAACGGCGTCTGAAAGTACAGTAGAGGGGTTCCCTTGTTTTATCACGCCTTGTTTCATCACGGCCATTGAAGGACCTGGAGTGACTTCAACTACGCGCCAAGGTTGAACTGGAAAACTCCGGTTTTTGACTGCAAGGCAACAAATCAATTCAGACGCCACTTTGGTGGTGGGCGATTTGCCTGGCAAGTCCACGTATCATGATGGTGCACATTCTACCGTCAGTCGTCGGACGAGCCATATCAAGAACAAGTCAACAAGACCCCTTCCGAGAATCGAATCAAAGCGTCCCACCTATGCCCCGGGCGAAGATGGCGGCCGACAATGCAATTCAATGGAAGAATAGCCTGAGCGAGCAATGACCAAACTCTGCCGCCCCATGCCAAGTATGCTCAGCGGGGTCTTAGCCATCAAACATGACCCCGTTCTGACATGGATGACGCCCTCAACTTAGTGAAAACCAGCTCGGTATCGCAATTCGATCTCAACGCCCTCCAGACCACTGACGCACAATCAAAATCAAAACTTCCCGCCCAAGGTGCTGCTCTCCAACTCCATAGTTAACAAGCTTTCACTCTCGGGGTGCGCTTTCTTGTCCTGCACCGCGCGCTTATAAGCCTGGTAAGTCTCAAACTACATGACCCATGTCAGCGGCTGCGTCCAACGAGGCAGGGTCAACTCACTGCATCCTGCACCGCCCATCTGGCGTCATGCCATGTGCTCCGCCCGCATCCTGGTATCTGCCCCGGGTTCGTCTCGAACAGACGCCAGGAGTGGCTGCTCATCGGCCCCCGGGCGATCCACTTATATAGGTCTCGGTCCTTGCGCCAGAGCTTCCACCCGCGGCCCGTAAAGAGGTGGTCGACGTTGTCGTACATGGCCGTGCCAGCCATTTTGTGCAGGAACCGGTAAAAGGTGTGGGCCTGGAGGTAGCCCGGGCGGACAGACGGCTCTTTTTCCCACTCCTTTCGCCACCACGCGTGATACTCGTCGACCTGGGCATTCATTTCTTCCAGGGGTGGGAGAAAGGAGGGTTGTCGGTAACCGGGCGGTGGGCTCTTTAACCCCAGCTCTCGCGACGTCTCTGCTGCCCAGACCTGAGCCACAGCCATTGATGCGAGCTCGCAGACGCACCAGACGCTCTCCTGCGGCGCCATCCAGCTCAGCAAGGCAACGGAAGAAGCATACCGGGGCGGGAAAATCATTTGATAGAGTCGGGGGACATGTGGCTGCTTCGGGCCGTCTCCGTGATCCTTGACCCTCGCCTCGCCGGCCGTGATCAGGGGCAGCCCGCAAGCCCCGTCCATCTCCAGCTCGGGCATGACGCGCAGGTCGTGCGAGTATCCGGTGCAAAATATGACGGCATCGACTTCCACCACCGAGTCATCTGCCAGCAAGACGTGGTTGGCGCCGACGAAGCCTTTGAACCCCCGGACTGGCTCCACCGCTCCAGAATAGAGCACGGAGATAAAGTCCTCCTGAACGGCGGGGTGCTCGTGGGCCATGCTGGGACACGGGGTGAGGCGCCAGTCTGACTTGACCCTCTGCCTTGCGCGTCTCCGTCGCTCCCTCTCCGACGCGCCGGGGAGCGCGGGCTCATCCCGTGCGGCGTCGCGAATCATCTTGCGGACCATCAGCCTGTCGACGGCGGCAAAGGTGAGCCACGGGGCCTTATGGTCCAGCATGTACTTGAGGCGGAGCATCGGCCACGCAATGGTGCTGTCCGTCGGGATGCCGCTGTCGAGATATCGCGACACCATGATTCGTCCGCGGCGGTAGGCCTGGTACAGCTTGGCAACGCGCCCCGACAGACTGATGGCGACTTCGCACGCCGTGTTGCCAATCCCCACGACCAAGACTCTCTTGCCTGCAAACTGCTCGGGACTGGGTATGGCGCGTCAGCTGATGAGTATCGCCGTTGCGCAATCAACCCACCTCCGATAGTTTTGCCCGTGCATGACGATGCCCTGAAACTTGTCTCTGCCCGGCATCCGAGGCCAGACGGGCGACGTCTGCGAGCCGGTGCCAACCACAACCTTGTCGAAGCGGGCGACGGCATCACCGCCAGACCCGGTGAGGTGGACTTGCCAAGCATCTTCAGCCTCGTCGCGGACGACCTTGTGTACCGTCGTGTTAAAGTGTATATGCCGCTCGAGGTCAAAGTGTTTGGCGTACGACTGAAAGTATTCCGCCACCTGTGTCCCTGAAAGATAGGGCGGATAGTCTAGGGCAAACATTTAGCCTCGGCTGCCATCGTGGGATGCGCCCATCGCCTGACCTTTGGGGATCGGAAAGTCACTAAAGCCGGACTGGAGACGGTCAGTGTCTTGAAGGTAAAGGCTCGGTCTCACGCACCACAAACTTGCTTATGTTGGCAACAGTCTCTCCTACAACCGACGTGTAGTTCGTGTTGGGGCTGTAAGACCACACGCCTCCGACCTTGTCTCGCCGCTCAAACGCAACGGCGTCAAAGCCCTCTTCTCGCAGGCTCTTGAGGGCCGTCAACCCAGCCGGGCCTGTAGCACGTCAGTCTGGCACCACACGTCCATGCTGCTGAAGCGTACCGAGGCCGATGACTGCGATTCTGATATTTTCCATAACAAAGGATATGAAATGTTGGCAAGGAGTCGTGGTAGCAGTCTCGTCAAAGCACAGTCTTCCAGGTCCACCAATGTCAAATAACAATGGAAGGATCCTCCGTTTGGACAATGCCATCCGACCTCATGCAAACTCTCCGGGGTACCATGACGCCTCGCGACCGAAAACGAGCCATCTTGGGCCTCATTGCAGCCCAAAGACACCCTTCAGTCCGTAGCCCGGTGTCGAGTACACGTGGGCGGCCCGAGGCCACCAGATGCTCAGGATCCCGTCACTGTGGTTCATACCCGACCATGGATCCGGCCTGACAGGCCAGTGCGATTCGACCTTGGTTCTCACCGTGGTTTCGACGTGCTTCTGACCTGCAAGTCGCCGAAACCAGATGGCGCGACGCCTGCAGGACGGGCTTAGTTCTGCATATTCCCAGTGCCATGTCATTGGAGCACCCGACATTCGGGTCGCCGTCTTCCCTTCAGCTTCGGCTCGTCGACATCCCCTCTGCCGCTCCTTTCATCGGCTATCCGCCTATGCTATTGGCCGTTCCACGACGGCCTCCGCCACCTGGGACTTGCCGATAGCTCCCTTCTTCCATTCGCGATTCAGTCGTCCTTCCTGCCGAGCTAGCTCATCAGCAAGCAGACGCCGCTGCCGCTGCAATATGCATGTACACTTCCCTCATGCATCTGATGCCCCAGCTTCCGGGCCAATGAAAGCTCCTACGCCTACATACGCCCGGAAATTAGCCACATTCTGGGCGCGGCCCAGCACATTTCGCTCATTTCTTGACGAGAATGGACTTGATGATGCTTACAACCTGATGGTATCTCCTACCGGGGAATATAAGGGCCCTCATGCTGACTGATAGCACATGCTTTCTGCCGGTCTGTTTAGTCTCTTACGGACAAGACGCACCTTGAATGAGCCTCCTTCGTATATGTGATGCTGAAACCCTCGACGCTGTAATCACCGCGGCCGACGAGACAAAAGGTCCGTGTCACACCTCTCATGAGCGGATTCAAGTCATCCCCTCCCGAGTCACAGTCCGCAGCGTTTTTCCTCTCATCAATGCCAATAGTTATCGGGTGCTATGGCACTGTTTCTCCTTCAGCAATGCGGTCCGTGGGTGAATCTAGCCACCTATCATGACCTTCTCATCTCGACACCATAGTGATGCTTGCGTTGTATTGCATGCACGTTTGATCCGTTCCCGTAACTCGTTCGAGAGATCTGATCTATCTACAGGCGTTTAAAACGGAAGTCTATACCTTAACAACCTCTGTAGAATGTTCACAATCGAAAAGGCTTAACGATTACATTGTTAGGAGGATCAAGTCCGGGCTTGAGTCGATGAATCGTCCGAAATATACGCTCCAACTTAAAACTCAAACACAACCAAAGAAGTCTTTCTAATGGACTCATCCTTGTCACCACAGACAAGAAATTCGGTATCAAGATTTGTCCAGCAAGTATCAAACAAGGAGCGAAATACGACGGAAGCTCAGGCACCGATAGCCATGTACCCACCGGCTGCGTCACAAGCGTCTGTATGCTGCCCACCTCATGTATTGACGGACCATGGAGTCCTTCTATGTACTTCTTAAACGCAATATGAACTCGAAGGGAGCATCATTAGAAACGAGCCTTGCGAAGAGCTCAGATTACAGTCCTCCATGTCTCCAACCGCATCCCCATACACATGTGTCTGGATATTTGAGGCTTCCAATCGTTGCTTCCAGCTATTAACAATCCCGTCTCACTCGCCACGGAATCACAGGCATCTACAAATCAACGCCCAACCTATTTGTGCCCAACGAACCTTTCCGGAATAAAGTGCGTAGCCCCCTGTCAACCCCACGGCTACCATCTGCACCCCATGCATACGGCAGCCCCAAGCCGCTTCCGTCGTAATTAGGTCCCAGCTTTCTCTGCATGCATGGCATTCGTCTATCGATAGCACCGTCCAGCGCGGCAGAATCTGGTGCCCGGGAGGCAGCACTGTCTGGCACAGCAGCCAATCGCGTCGAGGGTGCAGCAGATGTTGGCGGTTTTGCACTTTCTAGGGAAGGCGGGAGAGCATATGGCGGCCCTTTTGAATTCGTTGGCAGCCGGGAGCTGCGGCGCAGGTTGCGCGGCGCTGTCGAGTTCGGAGAGTGCTTCCAGGGGTTCCGAAGGCAAGGAGAGGACGCCTCCGAGCATGGGCAGGATGAGAGTTGGAAGATGAATCAACTGCATGTTGGCAATTCGAGGAAAGTTTCTTTCTATGTGATGGTGATTGTGTGATGTGAGCAGTAGGAATGAAGATGTTTTACTCGAGACCCAAGGAGCCCATCGCGGTTCCACGAAGGACGTCCGGCTTGCCTTTATGCATGTTTCCCCGAGATATCTCTTCTCCGAAAGCTCATTTGGCAGCACGCAGCTGAACTTATTTGCGAGGGTTGAGAAAGAGTGGCAAAGGGACTCAGGGGAGAAATGAGACAGCCAATTTCGTGGACGCTGTTCTGGTGCAAGGAAGGAATAGGTATTGCAGTTCGTCCTCGTGTGGTATTTGGACCATGCAAGTGCCGATCTTGTCGCCGATCACTGCCAGCCGGGCTGACTCTTGCTCTCCAGGGTCATGGCTAATTATATCTACATACTGTAAGCAGCGACGCTGGGGGGCAGCTTTGGGTCGAGGCGCGTCTACGTCTGGTTCCCGAATTTCTACGCCTATACCCTAGAGGTCTTGAACTGCAGCCGCAGCGGCAGCAGGGGCAACGTGTACAGATGCGATTTAGCTGATGCAAGAGACGGATCTTGCACCCATGTATTAGCATTGTCCGTCACTACATGTAGTTGAATTCCCCGTACTATAGCCTCGCTTTGGCTCCAAGTACACCAAAGGGCGAGGATGCTTAAGCAAATGACTTGGCAAAAACTGACACGGGTACCAGGTACGGTGAAGTGTCCAAGACCAAGTGGATGATCTCTGCACGCTTGATGCAGCCTGCCGATCCTCTCTGCCACCCCCGTATTTTGATCCAAGGGTGTTCCCGAACCCAATAAGCTACTGCACAGGCAGGACTTTGACTCCGTACACCGCCCGGACTTGCAGGTCGTTTCTCGGAATGCACGGAGTGGTAGCCGTCGGCCTCTGCGGCGTGCGCCAGAGTGGGAAAGCCTCCTTGAGCTTAGAACTCGACGGCACGCGCAAGGTGTTGTTATATTCGACAGCACAGTGATGGACGGCGTAGAATCCTGGAGTATAGGCCGCCCTGTCATATTTCAACCACACTTGGTCTACGGTAAGTGATATGCGTGATTCAGCATTCGAAACTACATGTAGCCAGTGAAGTGGAACAAGGCACCGCAAAGCGGAGTTGGCCCTCCATGTGTGCTTTTCCTGCTCGCGAGATCCGGAGAAACATATGCTTTTCTCACTGCTTGTACTCAGTCGGCTTCGATTCGTACACTACTCCGTACACCATCGACGATCGATGCAGAGGCACAGAAGTCCCTGAACCCTTCTCGTGACCAATCATGTACTAGAGTAACGGCAAGTAGACAACAGTTCCCGGCCATGGTTTCCAGTGCTCTCCAATTGCCTACTTCTCACTGCTTGTATGCTGTTGACTTGAAAACCCAAACCGGGGTAGTCCGTTTGCGCCGCAGTGATGCTTTGTCGCTCCATCAGACGTGTCCGATATGCCCATGCTGATCGGCCCGAGGCACCAACTTGCGGCTACAATAACACACCAACAGCCATCGTCTCTCGTGGGACAAGGGAACAGCTCGCAAATCGAATTTAAACGACGGCTTACAACGCATGGACAAAAACAACGAGTCTTCCAGAGATATATAAGTCTGAAAGCCGGCACCGCGACCTGGGCACTGGACAAAGCATGCTATATGCCAATTTTGCAGACCAGGGCAGCATGACAAGTCTTTTCATTGACGTATGTAATCTGTAGTGAGATTGATAAAATCTAAAGAGGTGTATCGGAGAAAATCCATGGCGCGTAAACGCACCGTGCGTACAAATCCAATGCTCAAAGCCAGCCATCGCTCCAATGCATTGACAAGACAAGACAAAAAGAAAAGACCAGAACAACGCCAAGCACACCCTGTCCGCTCCCTTGATAAAGACAACCCCGCCGTTTCACGGGCCTGATGGTATCGTGGTGTCCCGCAAATCGTCTAGTAGCCGCTCTTGGCGAGCCTCTCCTTCTCGTCGAGGACCGTCTCGCCGCTCTCCCGCTCGCGGTGCTCGACCTCGGCCGTGGCGTCGCGCTTCAAGTTGTCGTTGATGACGGCGTCTCCGGGCGTGGCCATGCGGCCGACCTCCCGGACAACGTTCCGGTCAAAGTCCGCGCGGCCCTCGATGGCGCGCAAGACCTCGAAGAGCGGCTTGCCCTTTTCGGGCCAGGCGACGTCGCCGCGGAGAATCTTCTTGGCGGTGATGCCGCGCTCGTTGTAAAAGACGGAGTTGGCGTCGGCGCGGCTGACAATGATGGTGCCGTCAATCTGGACGCCGGCCCAGAGGCCGCGGCTCTTCATGTAACTCCACATGGGGCGGGCCGTCTTGGAGACGGCGGCATCGACGCTGCCGCCGGCGCCGACGGGGCCGACGGCAATGGAGGCGTCGCCGCCGAGGGAGACGCGCGGGTTGGCAAAGGCGTTGACCTGGGCGGGCGTGTTGAGGACGCAGACGCAGTCGTAGACGTCGAGGCCGATGGCGAAGCCGGCGCCGAGGGTGGAGACGACAAAGGACGAGGGGGGGGACCAGGAGCCGTCAGGGCGGCGAGCGACGACGACGCCGGAGCCGGCGGCGAGGGAGGCATGGACGGCGCCGGCGCGGATGACGTTGAAGATGGCGAGGCCGGCGCAGTTCTCGAGGACACTGTCGGGGATCTTGACCATGGACTTCTTTGTGATGCCGGTAGGGTGCATGGGGCCATCCTGCTTGGGAGGCTCATGACCATTGAGCTCTGTAGAGTCTGCGAATTAGTACCGCCTCTGTTCGGGCGTGGGGACGACAGTCAACGTACTGGTAAAGGAGTGGAGGATGCGAGCAGCCTTGCCGCACTCCTTCTCCATGCTGGTGGGCCACCAGCCCTCGGCGCCGATGACGTTGGCAGCCTTGTTGAGAGGCCAGCCGGCCTTGCTGGTGATGGAGTGGAACTTCTTGTTAAAGGTGCTGGGCTCCCTGGTGGCGGGAGCGGCGTCGGCGTTGACGGCGTCGGCGGTGTTGTTGTTGAAGGTCGAGCGGGGGCTGATGGTGGGCGAGGGGGTGTAGGCAGGGGGCTGCTGCTCGAGAGCCTGAGGCTCGTCGCGGTAGACGGGGTAGGCAGTCATGTTGGATGTGGTTGGGTGGTGTGGTTGTTGTCAAGGTGGTGGATGAAGGGAGATGAGGTTGGAGTTGAGAGTCGTCAAGGGCTGTTGCTGTTGAGACGTATAGAGGACTGTGGTTGCTTGGTGAGTATGCGAGCTGGATATCTTCTCCTTCTGTTCATGCAGGCGATGAACAGGCCTTATTATACGCATCCGTGTGCGTGGGCCTCGCTCGCGGGCGCGCTCCATTCTCGGCCGCGATGTCGAGCGTCGTCTCTGTTGGCGAGGGTGCCTGCATCGGGCGGCGCAGCCTCTCTCTCCACCCTCGCGCGAGGAATGGACGTGAACGGCGACAAAGCCAAAGGGGCGTCCTCGCTCGCTCGTCACCAAGGGGGGTTGGAAAGGCAGCCGCCAGGGGCGAGCAACGAGTGACGAAGGCGCTCGGCCCCGCGATGGTGGACGCGAAGGCCGAGGGCGACGGCGGATTATGTCAGCCGCGCACGCCGCCCAACCGAGAGGGATGTCCTCGAGGGATGTCCTCAGCCGCCATGCCATCAAGGCGAGTCGCGGTTAAGCTTGTCCGTTCAAGCACTGACGGGTTGCGGTGTCGTCGGTGAGCTCCGGTGAGAAAGAGGACACTCGGCACTTGCAGCATCGTGTCCATCGATCATCGTGTCCATCTCGTCACGCAACGCATGGGCCGTCCGAGCAGCCTCACTGGAATTCCATGAGCCAACTAATTATGCCCTTGAACGGCCAGTAACCACAGTGAGCTCGGGGGCCATGGCCAAGCTCCTTTGTGACACGGAGGAGAGAGCTGGCTACCTACCACACCAGGGGGTGCTTATTAGGTCCCGCCATGAGCAGAGTACGTACATAATTACAGTGCTGGCACTCTCAGAGAACCAACTGGAGCCCCACTGCAATAAGTTACCACAGCTCCACTTACAGTGGGCTGTCGCAAGTGTCGTTGTACGTACCTCTCGTTTGCTCTCGCGAGTCAAGCTCACTCCCGGCAGTTTGGCAAGACAAGCTGGCCTCCCGGGCATCAACAGCCGCTGGGCATCACGGCCGCTGCCAATCAGCACTTGTTCTTGGCCACTGCCAGCCCAGCTTCTCTTGCCTACTACTTTCGCGTACCGCCCACATGGACTCACAGACTAGAGGTGACCCGACATGCTGCCTTGCTCGTGTGGTAATACTAGACGTCATCGCTCGCCGTCGAGAAAACAGGAAACCATTTTTGACTCTCCTTCTCGCGCCCGCCGCCCAAGAAATCGCAAATCAGTGACCGCGTTCCCCAGTATTGCCTCTCAACAATCCATCCGCCTCCCCATCATCAGCATCCGCACTCGTGCTATACTGTGCAGCACGCGCGACCCTGCCCCCGTCAAGACATTGTCCAGCGCCGCCTCGGCCAAAGCAGGAAACCCAAATCGCCAAAAGGACAACAAAAGAAAGAAAGAAGCTCTCCAACAGCCATGTCGTCCTCGCTGGTCCAAGACCGCGAGCACCACAACGGCCCCGACAAAGCTGACGACGTCCGCTCCCTCGCCCAGCGCTCCCTCGACCGCCTCGTCGCCCCCTCGTCGCGCCGCCGCGCATACGACTCTGCATCCTCGCTCGCTGCCGCGCGGCCCGTCCTCTTTGTACGTACCTTGACCTCGCCTTCGACCGCTTCACGCGCAGCCCCCAAGCCCTCTCTTGCTCTCTCCCACGTTTCCCCTTTCATCAGTCGGTGGGTTGTTGTCAACGCACAGTTGCCCGAGTGACTGTTCTACCAAAGTCGCCGGCACGTACCACCATGAATCCGGCCTCAGCTAACATCTGACCCAGTCCTTTGCCCTCTCGCAGCTCCTCTTCTCCTTCCTCCCCCTCCTCCTCTTCGCCGCCTTCGCCGCCAGCACCGTCATCTTCGCCCTCGGTGCCGCCATCTTCTTCGCCCTCTTCTGGATCGGCATCGCCCTCCTCCTCCTCGTCCCCGCCCTGCTCGTCGTCTCCTCCATCGCCCTCCTCGTCTGGGGCTGGGCTCTCGGCAGCTTCCTCATTGCCCGTTGGCTCTACGCCCATGCCCCCGTCGCCGCCAACGGCCGTGTCGACGTCGACGTCGCCGGCAGACATATGGACGTGGTCAAGAATGAGAACGGTGTCGACGGCAACATCAGTGACAAGCACTAGATGGACGGGGCAGCGGCCACTTTCTTAAGACTCGGCAAGTGATGGGGCCGGTCCGCAAGTCTAACAAACAAGAGGCTCCACGGAGCGGGCCATGGCCTAATATGGAGACAACACGGGATACCATTCGTGCGGGCCAATTCAGTGGCCTGCTGCCAGGTTGTGATTTGCGACCTGTCAATGGTAAATGAAGTCGACATAGACACGCTTCTCCTGTAAACCAGGCACAGCTAGGGTTGATTGAGCAAATTACATCATCACCCTGTCATCGTGCTCCCACGTTGTTTGAACGCGACACGAGTCGCTGCATCACAGTTTGCTTGCGTCGCTGCCTAGTCTTCGCTCCGTGACCATCCTCGACGCTGCCATCACAAACGAGGCCGGACGAACCTCGACCAACGTCCTCAGACCCATCCGTCTGAACCCTCGCCACCGCCGCAGCCCACGTCCATATGTAAACCCCCACTAGTATATTACAGATACAGACCCTCCGGCTCGCCCTCCTGCTTGGTCCGGAGCACCCGCTCCCGCGCAGACCTAAAGTCGGCCATCTGCACGCGCATGCGGCGCTCCCGCAGCGCCATCATGCCCGCCTCGGAGCAAATCGCCTTGATGTCCGCACCCGACAGGTCGTCCTTTTGCGAGATAAACTCCTCCAGGTCCACGTCGTCGCTCAGGTTCATCTTGGACGTGTGCAGCGTAAAGATCTTGCGCTTCGTGTTCTGGTCGGGGTTCTCAAACAGAATCTTGCGATCGATGCGGCCCGGCCGGATCAGGGCAGGATCCAGCGTCTCAATCTTGTTGGTGGCCATGATGACCTTGACGTCGCCTCGGTCATCGAAGCCGTCGAGCTGGTTGAGGAGCTCCAGCATGGTCCGCTGCACCTCGCGCTCCCCTCCAGAGGTCGAGTCGTAGCGCTTGGTGCCGATGGCGTCAATCTCGTCGATGAAGACAATCGAAGGCGCATTCTCGCCCGCCACCTACGTCGTCTGGTCAGCACGCTGTCCTCGTCCACACGTGCATCACATCCTACCTGGAAGAGTTGTCGGACCAACCGCGGGCCGTCGCCGAGGTACTTCTGGATTAACTCGCTCCCAACAATGCGTAGAAACGTGGCCGACGTCTGGTTGGCGACGGCCTTGGCCAAGAGCGTCTTGCCTGTTCCGGGAGCGCCGTAGAGAATGACGCCCTTGGGAGGTTTGATGCCCATTTCCTCGTACAGCTCGGGATGGAGCAGCGGAAGCTCCACCGACTCTCTGACCTCTTGAATCTGCTGCTCCAAGCCTCCAATGTCGGCGTAAGACTCGGTCGGGGCCTTGTCGAGCTTCATGACGCTGACAAGGGGGTCCGTGTCGTCGGTCAGGACGCCGACGATGCTGACGCTCTTATGGTGCAGCAAGACGCTGGCGCCGGGCTCGAGGAGGTCCTTGTCGACAAAGCTCATGATACTGACGTAGTACTCGGGACCCGTGGTGCTGCTGACGATGGCGTGGTCGTCGTCAATCAGCTCCTCGAGCGTTCCGACTCCCATGGGGCTGCCACGCATGTCGTCGACGCGGCCGCGCTCGTCGGCTAACCGGTCGACGTCGGCATCGGCGCCGGCGATGGAGCCCTCCTTGGCGGCCTTGGCCTTGCGCAGTCGCTCCTGGTTCTCGACGTACTCTTCCTCCAGCAAGAGATGGTCGTGGACCCGCTGCATCCGGAGTAGTCGGAGCTTGCATCGGCCGGTGGGATAGACGGCAGGAAGCTTTGCTGCTGCGCTTGTGCCGCCAGCCTTTCTCTTCTTGCGGCCGACGCGGGTGGTTGGCCTTGGGGGGGGCTCGTACTTGGGCTTATCCTTCTGTCGGGGCTGTCAGAAGACGAGATTGGCGCGTGTATTTGCAGAGATACGAACCTTTTTGTCCTTTTCGTCCCTTCCGTCACCACCGCCCATGCCGGATTGGCCTTGACCCTTTGACGAACCGTCAGCAAGTGGAAGAGCGAGGCCAGCCAAGGAGGCGAAAGCTCACCATCCTTGCCAGGCAAGCTCTTAGAGCTCGTGCGTGCAGGTGAGTGCGCGTGCGTCGTCTGTTGGCCTCGTGAGGACAGCCTGGTCGAGGTTTGCGGGTGTTGAGAGGAGACTATTGATGCCCCGGAGCTTGGCAGAGGATGAAGCCGGCTGGCCCCAGCAGGCACCGGGAAGACACGACAGCTAGGTACTTGCGGCCGGTCACGTGCATACAGACATCACGTGACCTTCCTCACAACCCCAGACGGCGCCTTTCATCTTCCTTTGCACCTGACCGGCGGCTTGGCCTGTCCTTTTCTTCAATGAGGTGGCAAAGACATGGGTTTTCCGGGTGGAAGCTTTGGCGCAGCTCGTCTTGCTGCATTGTGACGATTTGACTGCACACGGCGCTTGAGAAACCTACCCTATACTATCGGCCGGTGGTGTTTCCCCGTGGCGGATCGAACTCTCCCCTGTAAAAATTCTTCCCCCGTCAGAGCTGTTAGCGGCTCGCTAGCAGGGGGCCGGATTTGCAGGCCACCCGACCGCGCTTTTGCTGCCCGGGTCCATCGTGGCCCTAACAGCACAGAGGAAGACATTAGGAGAGTTCATATTCCTCTGCAAAGCCGGTCTCGACAACACGTCCACACGGACCTCACAGCTTCCTTCGGAACCAAGGAGCTGTGGGTATTGAAGGCCCGCCCTTCTAAACAACGGTGGCTGGTTGCGCAGGTTTTTCTCCCTGAAGGCAAGCTGCACGACAGCCTCTGATTCCTTCGAGGGTTTTTCTGCCGCCGCTCCTGCGCTATTTCCATCGCCTGGTTACCGAAGCATGGACTGCGACAGCAGCGTTAGCGAGAGCGAGAGAATTCTGACCGGACAAAACCAAGGGTTGACCATTGTGGCAATCGCCACGCGCCTGGACGACCCGCTGACGGGCACCAGGCTCCGACACTGAGCGCCTTAGAGCCGATGAAATGCTGGATGGACTTCGGGAAGGCTGGCTGCAGAGGATAGCCACGGACACTTGTATTGACGGGCTTAGCGACAACCTACCGGTGGAGGGGGTAGGAAAGCCGTCTCCGGGGATTGAGCCCGACAGCTCGCCCTTGCGAGGCCTTGCAAGAAGCGCTGGGTGAGGCCTACTGTGGCAGGATTTTCTCGATAGCCTAGCTCAGCACGTCCTGTGCCCCACCGGGACCTGAGCGGCCTTACGGCCGCTGGACGGAAAATACACACACACACACACACACCCCGTGGCGGATCATGTGCTGCTCGCCAAGGTGTTTGTGTTACAATAACTAACATCCGATCTTGTCTAGCTCATTATTATCCATCGCTCGGGGAAGCAAGCATTATGCGGCGGGTTGTGCATATCTGTACTGTAATGCGACTTGACGGAATCCATGCATGTACGACGTCACATGATGCTGGCCAGTAGCGCGACACCTCCAGTGCTTGGCAGGTGCCAAGAACAGACGCAAACACCAGCTCAACGTGCCGAGTTGCTTGTAAAAGTCAGGGCACCAAAAGGGTCCATGTGCACTCATCTGAATGAATCGACCAAAGGCTCAAATGTACCCAGTGGCAGCATTCCACTGGCCACCTCGCCGGTATTGAATATCCGGTTTGGTGCAGACCCGTCGTTGACGTCGTAGGCTAGGCCCCATTTGCCTCAGACACCCCCGGCCCTGAGGTCCGACGTCCAAATGATAAACTAACTTCGACTCTGTTCCCCACCAGCAAACACACATGACGAACCCCGCGGCCAGACTAGCACCCTAAACTCAACCTCCTACATTCTCTCACCTTCATCTTTTGTGCCGCCGCACACTGAGCAGCCTGCATCAGCACCCCGTACCTCAAGCGCCATCCTGTCAAGCGGGGCAACGTGCCGTCATGACGAGCAGCCGCGACCGTCGAATAGCCAAGGAGCTGGCTGACATCCAGGCCGACAGGGACAACTCTGGCGTGTATGCGATGCCCATCGACGGCGCCAACCTGAGCCATCTCAAGGGCACCATTCCCGCGCCCCCCGAGACTCCCTACGCGGGGGGCGTCTACCGAATCGACATCCAGATCCCCGACACCTACCCCTTCAAGTCCCCCATCATGCGCTTCGAGACCCAGATCTGGCATCCAAACGTCAGCAGTCAGACTGTACGTTTCGTGCCGTGACCTCCAGCGGGCTACCTGCAAGTCGACCTCGGCTAACCGACTGTCCCCAGGGCGCCATTTGTCTCGACACCCTAGGCAGCGGCTGGTCCCCCGTCCAGACCATCAAGACGGCCCTGCTCTCCCTCCGCATGCTCCTCGAGTCCCCCAACCCTAAGGACCCCCAAGATGCCGAAGTCGCCAGCATGCTCACCGAGAACCCAGAACGCTTCGCCATTGTCGCTCGAGACTGGGCCGTCCGCCACGCCGGCGCCACCAAGCAAGACGTCGACCTGAACAAGTGGATGAAGAAGAACCTCAAAGAGGCCGCCCCAAACTCCGATGATGCCAACCGGTATGTCTTGGCTGGCATCCGAGGCAAGCAACATCTACACAGGCTGACTGGCTTGACGCAGGTACAAGGGCTATAACAAGGACCTGGTTGATCGCTTTGTCAACATGGGCTTCGATGTCGGCTCTGTCGTTGACGCATTCGTCTACGTCGGCATTGACCGTAACAACGGACAAGACTACGAGCTTGAAGAAGCGTACATGGGCGACATTACCGCTCGGCTCCTTGGCGAGCAATAAGACGCAGAAGCATTGGCTACGGTTACGGGGGTTTGCATCGGCAGCATTAGCACTGGAGTTTTGCCATACATAGATTGGTCCTTTTGTTTATCCCGTATGCTTTGGGACGAGTTGACCGCTTTGCACGTCATGATTCTAGCCGACTTTACAATAGGTCACCTCTACAGCGCTGCAATCATTGCTATGGGCATATGTCCTGGGGGGCATTCTCCAGGCCTTTCCGTTGCATACGACTACACAGCAAGGTACCCCTTTAGACGAAATTGTACTCGACTTCCTGATCTATCTTACGCACACCATAATGAAACAAAATCGCGAAAGCCCCCCGAGCGCCGTGGGCGTCTTGTCAGCGAGCTTCAAATTTGCTCGGTCCCCCGTCTCCATCCCCCTGTCACCCAGTCCAGAACATCGTCCAAGATTACAAAAGATCCCGTCGGACAAACTCTTCGTACAGAGCCTTGCCGAGGCCAGCAGGAGAGCGCTCAACAACGACACCCGCGCTCTCGAGAGCCTTGATCTTGGAGTCGGCCCCGCCCTTGCCGCCAGAGACAATGGCGCCGGCGTGGCCCATGCGGCGGCCGGGAGGAGCGGATATACCGGCAATGAAGGAAACGACGGGCTTGCCGCCACCGACCGTGTTGGCCTCCTTGAGGAACTCGGCAGCGTCCTCCTCGGCGGACCCTCCGATTTCGCCAATCATGATGATGCCGTCCGTCTCCTCATCCTCGGTAAAGACCTTGAGGCAGTCGATGAAGTTGGTTCCGCTAAAGGGGTCGCCGCCGATGCCGACAACCAGAGACTGGCCAAGGCCGGCTTGCGTGGTCTGATTGACGGCCTCGTAGGTGAGGGTGCCGGACCGGGAGACGATGCCGATGCGACCGCGCTTGTGGATGAAGCCAGGCATGATGCCAATCTTGCACTGGCCAGGCGCGATGATGCCGGGACAGTTGGGGCCGACCAAGCGAGTCTTGGACTGGGACTTGAGCATGGACGTGATGCGGACCATGTCTGAGGGCCATGTGAGCAAAAATCATACGTGCAGGAGAGAAAGACTCACCATGTTGCGGGATGCCTTCGGTAATGCAGACGACGAGGGGAATCTCAGCTTGGAGAGCCTCTTCGATACCGGCAGCGGCGAGAGGCGGGCTTGGCGCATGTCAGTAGGGTTCCACGGCCGCCGAAATTATTGAAGCATACGGGACAAAAATGGCCGTAGCAGTGGCACCCGTCTCCTTGACAGCGTCAGAGACATTTTTGAAGACGGGAAGGTCGAGATGCGTTTGGCCAGCCTTCTTCGGGTTCGTGCCGCCAACAACCTTGGTTCCTGCAAACCCAAGATCAGCTCTCGTCGTTTGGTCGCGGGGTCGACGGGGGCGTACCGTATTCAATAGCTTGCCGGGCATGGAAGCTGCGACGCGTCAGTAATGCTGGTTCGGAAACAGTGCTGACTAGACGTCACATGCGTTCCCTGCTTCCCGGTGAAGCCCTGGTAGATGACCTTGGTGTCACCATTGATGCGCAGGTTATCGACAGTCTTGGCGTAGGGGGACGAGGAGCTGTAGGCACGACGGGCGACCTGGCGAAGCGCGGCGGGGCGCAACGCCGTCCTGGGGAGAGCCTGCATGCTGGATCTGGGGGCTGGGGGAGGCAGGAGATTCAAGTTGCAACGCTCGACGAGGGATTGGGAGAGCTGGAGCTTGGTGAGGAAAACCATCGGCCGGCAAAGGCCAAGCTGGGAGAGCTTGGCGACTTCGGGTGCGACCGGGCAAGCGGCGGCTGTCTTTTTCCGAGAAATTCCAAACGGCTTTGGCGGATGTACAAGGTACTTTGTGCAAAGTGGGGAGGGAATCTCGGCCTCGGGATATGTACTTATGATAGCGCAGTACTGAAACTTTGGTTGGAAAACTGTGGTCTCAGCCAGTACTCGCTAGCACTTACCCGTCCAATCCCGGGCCTGATCGAGATCCTGTACCGGCCACTCGGGTCTGGCCCAACCCAGGCGGCGCATCAAGTACAGGAACCTCGTTGGTTTTGCAAGCCACCTACCTGAGGTACGTATCTGACTGGCCTTTTACGTTTCGCCCCGCCATAAAAAATATCAGAAGCCTATTCATCGATGGACAATACGAATGTTGTGACGCTTCCCCCAAGCAGCGCCATGGCGACGGCAACAGTCACAAGCACCAAGAAAAAGGGGGTCGACCTCGCGCCCGAGAGCGAGCGCTTCCTGCGATGCTGCGCCGACGTCGCAAACGCATTGATCGAGGACCATGAGGCGACCAAAGACGGCCGCCCGTCTCGCGACATCAACCTCAACTCGCTACGCTCCAAGCTCTCCAAGAAGCACAAGCTGGCCAACATCCCTCCCTTGACCGCCATCATCGCCGCCATCCCCGAGCACTACAAGAAATACATCCTACCCAAGCTCGTCGCCAAACCCATCAGTATGGCGCCTGTTGACTGCCGCTCCGAGTCTGTCCACTGACGTGCACCAGGAACATCGTCGGGAATAGCAGTCGTCGCCGTCATGTGCAAGCCTCATCGATGTCCTCACATCGCCTACACCGGCAACATCTGCGTCTATTGCCCCGGCGGTCCCGACTCCGACTTTGAGTACAGCACGCAATCATACACTGGATACGAGCCCACGTCCATGCGAGCCATCCGCGCGCGCTATGATCCCTTTGAGCAGGCACGAGGCCGAGTGGACCAGCTCAAGTCGCTCGGCCACTCGGTGGACAAGGTTGAATACATAATCATGGGCGGCACCTTCATGTCGTTGCCCAACTCGTATCGTGAAGACTTCATCTCGCAGCTGCACAATGCGCTGAGCGGCTATCAGACCTCCAAGGTGGACGAGGCGGTCGAGGCAGGCGAGATGAGCAACGTCAAGTGCGTCGGCATCACCATCGAGACACGGCCCGACTACTGTCTGCAGCCGCACCTCTCCGACATGCTGAGGTACGGCTGCACCAGGCTGGAAGTCGGAGTGCAGTCGCTCTACGAGGACGTGGCGCGCGACACCAATCGCGGCCATACCGTGGCATCGGTCGCCGAAACATTCTGCCTTGCCAAGGATGCCGGCTTCAAGGTCGTCAGCCACATGATGCCGGATCTCCCCAACGTGGGCATGGAGCGCGACATGGACCAGTTCCGCGAGTATTTCGAGAATCCCGCATTCCGGACCGACGGGCTCAAGATCTACCCGACCCTCGTCATCCGGGGCACCGGACTCTACGAGCTGTGGCGAACGGGACGCTATCAAAACTACACGCCCAACGGGTTGGTGGACCTCGTGGCGAGGATATTGGCTCTGATACCGCCATGGACTCGCATTTACCGTGTCCAGCGAGATATCCCGATGCCCCTCGTGACGTCGGGCGTCGAGAACGGCAACCTGCGAGAGCTTGCCCTGGCCCGGATGAAGGATTTTGGAACGACATGTCGAGACGTACGGACCAGAGAAGTTGGAATCAACGAGGTCAAGAACAAGATTAGGCCGAACCAAGTCGAGTTGGTGCGCAGAGATTACGCTGCCAACGGCGGCTGGGAAACCTTTCTGGCATACGAGGATCCCAAGCAAGACATCCTGGTTGCCCTGTTACGGCTGCGCAAATGCACAGAAAAGTACACGTACCGAGAGGAGCTCACCGGCCAGCCCAGCAGCATGATCCGCGAGCTCCACGTGTACGGTACCGCGGTGCCCATACACGCGCGCAATCCCCGCAAGTTTCAACACCAGGGCTTCGGCACGCTGCTTATGGAGGAGGCCGAGAGGATCGCGCGCGACGAGCACGGCAGCGACAAGATCAGCGTCATCTCCGGAGTCGGTGTGCGAAGCTACTATAAGAAACTCGGCTACTGGCTGGACGGTCCGTACATGAGCAAGTGGATCGACGGGCGCGACGGGGACGGACAGGAATGAACACGTCTTTTCGACGTCGTCCCATCTCTACATGACAATGAGGAACAGCCCTTATCCCCCGCAGACTTTGGCCTTCTGCGGTATAACATCACTCCTAAACAAGGTCCGGAGAACCAAATTTTTCCAAGTACGCCTCCACGTCCTCGAAGACGGCCATCGTGTCGTAACGTGCGGCCGTGTCTGCTCCCCCTGTTGTCAACCCTCGAAGTTCATCAATCTTCTCCTTGATTTTCAACGCATAGTGGCGCGCGCATCCCCCGGCAGCCGTCAACGCCTGTTCGAGAGCGGGTCCTTCAAACAGGTCTGATTTCACTGTCACAACTACCTGCACGATGTCGCTCAAGGGCAGATCGCAGAAGCCGCTATCGACGTAGCATCGCGGATGAGATTGGAACGCCTCACTCTTGACCGATTCGCACGTCGCGCCTCTCCCTGAAATGGGCTCGACGAGAGCCCTTTCCAGACATAGCATGGTCCTCCAGATCCAGGCTTGGCCCTGAGGGCTGAAGCTATCGAGGCGGGCCACGAAACGCCGGCAATTCTTGGCGCCGTAGCGCAGAGGATAACCGTCCTGACCGCATTGGAGGGTTTTCTCGGCGCAGCGTGTGTAAAAGTTGCACGAACGTGGTGGAGGGCTTTGGCACGTCGGCTGGCAGATGGCCCTGCCTGGGCTGGTCACGCACCCGGCGTGGTTCTTGTGCGGCTGGCCCCTCAATCCCACGCCGGGGACGGGATTGCGCTTGACGATGTGGATGGTGCCGCGGCTGATCGGGTGGGACGAGGGTAGGAGCTTGAGTGTCGCGGTGCTGGACGTTGCGATGGTGTCCGCGGAGCCAATCCTCTTGTCGGCCGTGCTCGCTGATAGCTCGATGGACATGGCGGGCAGGTTGGACATGTGAAAGGTCCCGGAATTGTCGGTAACACCGTGCTGTCTGATGCCAGGAAACGACTCGGCTGTCACGTTTGCGCCAGGCACAGGCTTGCCGTGCTCATCCACGACTTTGACTGGCATGCTAATGGAGCCAAAGAGAAGCGCGAAACTATGGACAAGCAAGCTTCCCTGGTCATCTTTGGCTGCGACAGTGATTGCTTTGAATCCAGGTCCCAAGCCGCTCACAACGATGCCGTCAGGAGTAACGACCGTATTCTTGAGCACAACACCCAGCCCAAGAGATGGAGCGGCGTCTGTGCCGGTGGCCATGAAGACGGCATGTGACTCGGTGTCGAGACTGTTGCACGACGGCCTGATGATGAAGGGTTCATTGGGCTTGTTGAAGCCGTCCTCGGCGACGCCGTCCAGGACAAACGTGGGCGTGCAAGAAAGCCGGTGGGGGCCAGTGACAGACGACGCAGTTTCTCCGATGACACTCGAGCGTTTCGTGTCAACTGCCGTCGGCAAGCCGGGGTTGAGGGCACCGAGGGCGTGGGAGACGGGGAGGAGGAGGATGCCGAAGCCGAACATTTTGGTCGCTTTCTCTTGACTGGGCAGACGCGTGTCAAAGCTGGTGGAAGCGTTTTGACAGACTTTGAAAAACTCACAGGTCAAGCGAGGTCGCACGCAGAATGTTAAGGGTGACACGAGCGATTGTAGGCTCGTTGAAGCAAGCCTTGTATGCTGGACGAGACGCGCTTATTTGCCGGGCAATTTGTTCCTCGCTGGGGCTATTGGAATCTGACAGGGGGTGAAAGGCCAATCAGATAAAGACGATGGTCATTCACATGGGAAATGTCTGATTCACTTTCCACAGGCACCCAGAGCGTACGATGGAGACAGGAGTATATTTCCCGTTGCTACACACCAAGAAACCGCTTCATTCTCGGCGCGGGCCATTTTGCGTTTTCCACAGTTATGAAAACTGATCATGTAGTGCGAAGCGAGGAAGTCTAGAAATCAAACCTGAAACCTGCTCTCCCCGGGCAAGACGACCTCACGCGGAGTCCATGGCCGCGGGGAAAAGAGACCGGACAGTGCAAGTTTCCGGGTGAAGGGAGAAGGGACTTGGCTTCGATATGGACTGCCTCGGGTGGGAGAGCATGGCTTCCATTCACGAATTGGCGAGAATCACGGCACGTAATATCGACACACTCGAACACGTGATATGCTTTGAGATTTTAACGTCAACAACTATTTCCAATTTTGAATGACCTAAACCCAAGGCGAATCCTCGAAGAATCGTACAGGAACCCGAGCTGCCTCCGGGGCCAGCTAGCACGAATTGCCGGACGGCGGCGTGGCCTGAGGAGTGCCGGTGGCGGTCTGCGTGCCCCGTGGGGGCTGCGAGCCGGGCTGTCCGGCCGGGACGCCGGGGGGTGCTGGGACCTTGCCCTGGCCTTTGGCATCACCCTTGACACCGGGGCCGGCGTCTTGGCCACCGACACTGACGGGCCGGCCAGCGGCGGACTTCCCGGCCTTGTTGGTCTTGGCGGTGTCGGGCGTTTCTGCCCCTGGAGTTTCCGCTCCCGCGCTGGCGCCGGCGGTAACGCCAATGTTGACGACAAATATCATAGTCTGAGGCTGCTGGGCCCCGCTCTGCTGAACGGCCGACTCGACCTTTTCCAGGACCTGCTGGCTCGCACCGTCGGCCTGTTGAGTGCTGGGAGGGGCTGCCTCGGCCTGGACGACGCCGGGAAGAGTGACCTGCTTCCTTGCGCACTCGCCGCACTGGCTGATGTCGGGCAGCCCGCGCTTCTCTCCTTCCTCGCGGCTGCCGAGGGGCTTCTGCGGCGTCTCGGGAGAGTCGGCGATCGGGGCAGGTTTCCCGAACATGATGACGTACACGTAGCTGCCGTCCTGCTGCCGCTTCATGACGTGCTGACTCGGGGTGAAGACCATGACGAAGATAAAGGTCCTGTCTACGGGCGCCTTGGCCGTTGGGGACGTCGGCTGCGGTGAGGTCCCGTTTGTGACCCGGGTGCCGTTGATGCCAACAAGGCCGCTGGGGATCCTCGTGTCATTAGTGGTGTTGGTGCCCTTGGTGACGGTGTTGTTGGCCGCGTCAGTCTTGTTGGTGCTCGGGACAGCGCTCGGCACGGCCCGGATAAGAGTCGTCGGCACCGCCGAAGGCGCCGAGGACGCCGAGGACGGTGTTCCACCCTTGGGCGGCTTCTGCACCATGGCCGGCGTAAAGGAGCCAAAGCCAGGACGTTGGCAACCAAAAGACGCAGAAGCAAACGCAGCGAACTGGGCTCGTACTTTGACCTGGCGCTTGACCGGCCCCTGGCCCTGCTCGCCGGCAACGTCCTGCTCCTCCAAGGCCTCACTGTCGCCGGCGCGCTGGGGCTTGGGGGGGTTGGGGTAATACTCCTCCAGCGGAACCGTCACGTTCTTGTTCTCCTGGAGGGGCTGGGGAAACTCGTTGCTCTGCAAGCGCAGCTCCTCATACAGCTCGGGCAGCGTCTTGGTGTCGTTGGACTCGGTGAGCTTGGTAGCGGCCTCGCTGTAAACATTCTTCCAGAACTTGGCCTCGTCATCTGAAAAGATCTCGTTGCTCTTCTTGCACGCCAGGCAGCCATCGCTGTCCGCGTTCAAGGTGCTATTCTTGCCGAGCACGCACTCCTTGTAAATGTCCATGTTCTGGTTTCCGGGGGGCAGCCTGGCGCCCTCGGTGCTGATGAAGCCGGCCCGGCCTTCGCACTCAGTGAAGATGAGCTGTTCGGCGACGCAAGGGGGGATGACGCTTGTTTCGTCGCCCAGCTTATACGTGCCGCCGGGGTGGCATTTTTCGTTGGCCAGCTCCTGGAGGTCGGCGGGCAGTTGCTGGATCTCGTCGGCGGGCGCAGCCCCCTGGGCGGTTGCGCTGTGGAGGGCGGTGAGGACGCCGATAATGGCCAAGAGAGTGTTTTTGCTCAACATTTTGAGAGGGAAAGGGGTAATGGGTTGTGGCAAAAGATGAGTGGGGACTCTTCAGTGGTCTCTGACTTTGATTCTCCCGTGCCAAGCGGTGAAGGTCGAGGAGGTCCCAGTTCTCTCTTCAGTCTCGAACGGGGTATAAACAAAGGCTACGTGTGTTGATATAGAAACGAGTGGAAAAGGAAGGTGACCGCTGCCGAATAACCAGGCGAAAGCTGACGATGAAGGAAGGATGTCGTCAATGGTGGTGAGGCACGAGAAATCAAAGCCAAGGGGATTGTGGCTGGCATTTATATACACTTCAATCCCGGTCTCTCTCGGACAACCCTGGCAGCGAAGAAGCACTCGGCGTCATCTTGCCCCGAGAGACTAATCCACACCGACTGTAGCAAGTTAGGGAGACATCCTGATAGTGGATCTTGGCCTCGAGAAGCACGGTTCATCTCCAGCGAATTCTTTAAGCATGCGAATGTCAAACAAACCAATGACACTGCCACTCAAACGACCCAACGAATAAAACTGCCTCGTTCCACCCACTACGCCGGGCTCGCTTGACCTTGTTCTCTCTTGCGAAGGCCTCTGCATTGTCTTTCTCGCGAAAGTTTGTGGGTTCTCTAGCTTGATCTGTGACGAGAGGGGTGGGTCGGGCTCTATCTTGCCTTGACTAAGAGACCAAATTAGATGACTGGATCGGAGCTTCGCGTTTCATTCAAGCTCGGACGAGAAGAGGGGCCTCCATTGCGCAATCAGCTTGGCAGACTTTGACCTGATTCAACCAGGCAGACCCTTGCATTCTTCCCCGCATGGTGACGCGAATCAACATCCCACGTCTGCAGCTTCATCCTGAAAGGTCCAGCCAGAGGCAAGGATGAGGCGAACGTTCAATGCCGGCCTGACAAAGAGCCGGCCAAAGCCAAAGCTCCTGGTTCCAGGTTAGGGGGATTGGATATTGTCGAAACGAATCTCCTCTTCTTAGAATTTGAACGGAAAGTACGAAATAAGCTTGGCACAAAGATCGAGCGCCCGGTCTGAAAAAAAAGCGTCTGAAATTTAGACGCCGTTTCAGACTAGTTAAGCTTATTGACAAGGTGACATGGTGGTTACTGGGTATATGACACTGGCACATCAAAGCCTCCGGCTTGGCGTGCCGATCAAGTTATATGTAGTTATGTACCTTGATCCCGGCATTCCTGCCGTCTACTTAATCTGTAACAAGCCAAGAAGATGAGAAACCGCGACATTCAAAGTTCCCACTTGTACAGCCGCGCTCTTCGGTGACTTTGGCTGACACAGCCCACATCATCTGGCGTGTTAGTGTATCTTGCATGAACATCAAAGCCGCACATGGTGGGGAAGAAGCAGGAGGTTCGCAGCTCGACTGCACGTGTATCCGAGAAGAGAAAAGCTGTCGTTTGTGAGTTTGATTAAGGCTTCTCAAGTGGAGGCGACGACCGAAAGATTTTCCGATGCCCGGCATGGATGAGCCAAGGATTCCATCATGAGATAGGAGACGACGTCAGTTCTCTGAAACTGCTTATCGGTCTTGTTCCAGGGAGGGACTCTTTGCCTCTGGCATTGAAAGAGGTCAATTCGTGTCTGCATGCCACGTGCGTGCGTGCGAGCCTACTGCGTATGCCAGCGACGCCTCCGAGGTCCGACATCCATGTCTGCCTTTCTTCTCGGGAGCCTCCCCCAGCTCCAGGTTGCAACGATTGCACGCAAAGACATGTTTTCGTTCAAAGTACAGAGAAGCACTTGGTCAGTACCTACATGGGCGATTCAAGAAGCACAGCCCTGTGCCTCTCTTGAAACTCGCAATGCCCATTAAAGTCGAGAGATATTCAAGGGTTCTGACCCCTGAATATCAAAGGCGGGGAACCGGTCAGCATTTACTTCTCCCCTGAGCAATTCGTATCGTGAAACATTTTGCTCAATCGAGCACTTCGTTATAGCAAAGACAGCATCTCCGGATAAGGAATCACTGCCAGACAAGATGTGGCAGAGAAACTTTGTGTTTCCTCTTCCATGATCTTGGAGAGGCACACGTATTTTGCATACAAGTGCTAGCCGCTCCGGTTTGCTGGGAGTGAGCTGACTGCACAACACCAGACTGTCTCGCAGTGGGAGTATGCTTGAGCTTCCTGATATCCCCATGGAAACCGCGTTCAGCACGGGATTTTACCCGTCACTCCAGTACGGACTCGGTTCTTCGCAATAGCATTGTTCTGTTCAGTCGCGCAACCAGCTGTCGTTTCATGCTTTTTCTCTGCCCGAGAATCTTCTTTTCCTTTCCTTCTCTATAGGATCTTGATGCCTTGACTAGTGAGTGATGGTGGTTTCTACGGTGGTTTCTGTTGACTAATTCAACGGATTGCGTTTAGCACGCCATATCGATTTACTGCCAACGCAGCTTGGCGAGCTTGGTAAGGGCGGGCCGGATGCGGGGAAGCGGCAACTGGAGATGGTGATGGGCATCAGGACTCGCGTAACACAGGCGGCATAATGTATCGATAGATTGGTATTAGTCCTTGTATGTGGACTACGTAGTAAAGTGGTCTCTACTTGCCTACCAATATGATCGTCCACTCTATTAGGTCATCTCCCTTCACTCACGAAATACCACGTTCTGTTCATTTTCCCGTCTCCTCTCTTTCTGTCCCGCCGAGTTCCATTGCATGATGTCCCTCTCGTCTCCTTCAATACCCTTGTACTAATCTGCGTACGCTGTTCCATAGTTGACTGTCGGGAGGCACTGGTAGAATAAAGTCAACTGTAGTTTCCAAACCCTAATCACCTCTAGCCCAATGTATCATGCTGCATATATTCGAAACCACATGCTTCCTTCCGCTCCTGGAACAGAGGTCAAACCAAGGGGTCGAGTTGACATATATGAAAGTCGTGGGCGCAACTGATTCAAAATCGTCTAGATAATCCTTACTTATATCGAATTGAAGAAAGCACATATAGTGCTGCGTAGCGTTGATAAGTATAACGCTGCTCTATATCGTCAGCGAGATATATTATGGTATAAGCATGTACGCCTAGGTTAGTTGTGGTGATGTGAACGGTACCTATTGTCCAACTCGCCTAATGGATCAGCCAATCTGGCCACCAGGGCTTCGCAGGTCATCTGTGCAAAACATTCATCCGAGATAATTGGTTTGCCACTCTCGATATGCTGGAACCGTTTTTTTGTCTCTAAAATCGCAACACGATTTCTCCCAACGGCAAAGACGCCATCATATAACTTTTGCCGTAGACAGAGTCCCCCATCGTCAGTTGCTACTATCCTACGCGCCAGAACGGGGGTAAATGCAGCCAGTCTTGTCTTATTATCGCGGAATTCGACGACGATTGGCAGGGTCCTAGATTCTTGGGGTGATGTAAAGTAGAGGAGGTGACGAATAACACAGGAGGTAAATCGTAGCGTTTCATCTTCAGGGCTCACAAGAAGTGCGTGAGAGTCCATGTCGATGAAATTCATAGAAGAGGATGCCGAAGAGCTCTCGTGTAGAGGACTGCTGGAGCCGACTTGAATCATGCTGGAGTCGACATAGTTGTCTTGACGGGTGCTTCGACCGGCACGCTTTGGTCTCACCTTAGCATCATCGTCCTCTGCAAGGGCCTTGCTATCGGTGCTACGGCGGTCCCCCGGTCCCGAAAGCATTGACATTGCCGCCCACACTTGACCAAGAGACACGCCGTAACTGTGGACAAGCTGGTGCTCGCTTTGAGCTAAGTCGAGTGTTGTCGGACCGTCTAGGAACTTTTGGATCTCGGTCGAATACTGCGCGTCCATAGGCCGGCAAGATTGGGACAAAATAGGGAGAATGGTGCTTTGGGTATCTCGCCGTATAATGCGACAGGCAAGGAGATGCTCGCGTCCCCACTGACTTGCAGGCATGTATTGTAGCTCTGAGAAGGTTTTCCCCCCTTCATCGGCAAATCGCGCTCTGAAGTAGGATTCCGAGGTGACGGTACTAAACTAGGTCTCAAGCAGTGGCTTGAGAGCACAGTGGAAGAAATAGGGGCACAGAAAGGTGAATTTAGTAATGCATGTCTTGGTCTATCTATTGGGACAAGGGAGGGGCTTATATAGGTACAGTGACCACATATAGCTAGCCAAAAGAGGGCATTAGGATATTCCTATACCTAAGTTAGGCCTATATAATGTCCTTAGGCTAGGGGAGTCATATTAGTTAGGCAGGCTTCCTTATATATAACTATTAGGTCTACTGGGCATGACTGTGGCTTCTTATGCCTACTCTCCTTAACACACCCCCTTGCTACCCTAGCTTCTAGATAGTGGGGCAATAGGTAGAGGAGGGTTCGGTCTAATAAATATAAGGCTATTCCGATATTAAATTTAGCTATTTTGCTGTCTATTTAAGGAGGTTGTCTAAAAATAAGGGAGGCTCCTAATTATATTCTATAAAAAGGGAAGGTAAATATAGTAAAAGGTAAAAGCTAGGACCCGAAGGATAGGATATAAGGAGAACCCTCCTCCGTATATCCTATCTCCTTAGGCCCCTAAGTTCGTTAACCGCGCCCCCCCTAGGGCGTGGTTATATAACCTGCTCTTCCGCCCTAGGGGGAGTTAAACTTACGATTAATAGGGTTATATAACCTACTCTTACCGTTTAATTAGTAGTTATAAGTTATATTTATAACCTTCCTTATAAGGAGGGGTATAGCGGGGCATCCCTTTAGGTAGCCTAGGTACTATAGTACCTTTGCTAGCGACGTTATTATTTAGGATAAAAGTAATCTTAATAGTAGGCTTTCTAATAATATATTCCTTATATTAATTAGTCTTAATTTAGTAAAGCTATCGCGATTATCGTAAGTTTAAGCGCTATAGTATTATACTAATTAAGGGGTAGTCTAGTAATAGCTTTACTTCTTAGTAGTAAATAGGGCTAACTTCTACCCCCTAGATCTTTATAGTTTCTTAATTAAATTAAGATCTAACTACGCTATTAGAATCCCTTAATCTTAGTAGA